GTTTTTCCGGCAGATGCTTCTAGCTAAAAGAATTTCAGACTGGCCGCCAGAACTGTCAGAAAACATTCCTTCAAAATACCAATCTTCTAGCTTCTCACTTCCCCGAATTAGCAACTTGCCCGGAAGAAACTTTCAAGGGCACAAGCGTAGGTACCACGCTTACCCGCGGGCAGGGTTTGAACTCGTTAATACCCACATGGACAGGGAACATCCCATTAAGATTTCAGCGTTCTAGCTTCGTAGATCCCCGAGTTATGAACTTGCCCGAAAAAATTTTGGCAGGCCCGTACGCGGGTACCATGCTTATCCGGGGGATGGGTTTGAGCTCATTAATACCCACTTGGACAGAAAACATCCCCCCCCCCTAGGATTTCAGCATTCTAACTTTTCAGATCCCCGAGTTAAAAAATTACCCCAAAAAACATTGGCGGGCCTGTGTGCGAATACCACGCGGGTGATGGCGCCCATTTTGGGGGTTGGGGCCGCACGTGCATGTAGATCAAGTTCCCGAAATTTCACCCCTGCAGCCTTTATAGGTATTGAGATGAAAGTGCGTGACAGACGCACACACCGACACACGGTACACACAGACAACCCCTCCTCAATATGCATTTTTGCATTGCACAGGTGTAAAAAACGCATGACCTGATAAATAGTGCCAAAAGTCAAATTTCCAGTTCCACCGGTAAGGCAACAAGTCCCCTACGATTTGATTATTCGCAGTGGTAAATTAATACCGGCACATCCCAAGCAATCAAAACTCCCAGTGCTTGCTTCTAAGCAATTCGGGGAGCAGGAAGCCATTGACAGCCTTATTAGCTGAAAGTTGAAATTGATGCGTACTAGCCTTGGTACTGCATCCGAACAAAAGCGGTTTTGACTTTTGAATTTGTAAGAAAATAACCGATGACGATATCTTTGGCGCAATTTCCTCACAGCTCACAAAATTCGTAGGTCTTGCGGGTACAGCGCTAGTTGAAGCGCCACACGTTGTGAACGGGACAATTGTATCGTGGGATGTTGTCTACGCCCCGCGAAGAAAATTCGCGACGGATATGGCTGGCTTCGCCGTTAATTTGGACCTCATCCTGAGTACCAAGTAAGCCTGCGCTTTGTTCCTATGTTTGATTGGGAGTGATTTCAAAATCATGGAAGCTAAGATCTAGTAAACTGATCGATGGCACCAGAACAGAGACATTTCTCAGGTTGGACGTAGAGGCCAGCTCGCGGAGTTCCGTTTCAATCAGCACAAACTCGCTTTACTAGTAGTTCAGCAAGCGCTGACAGTTCCGCTTGTGGCAGAAAACATTATAACATAGGGCTCTTGGTAATCTCCGATTACAGCAGTCTAAATTTTGACAACCTAAGTTCTTGGAAGTTCTTCAATGCAGCAATGATG